CATGCTCCGACCATAAGGTTCGACATAAATATCCCCGCGCAAGAAGAAATACTCTTCAGTCCAAATCCAAAAGTCACTTACTGGGAAGGATGCCATAAGTCTCTCACGGAAAGAAATGCTTTGATAAAATGAATCAAATTGACTTATTGAAATAAGAAATACCATAATCTATGCCAAATAAATTAATTTAATCTAAAATGGAATAAAACAAGAAAAAAACTGATAAATATTAGCGTTTTAAGATTAATCTGCTAATTTCGCTTACGATTAATAACATCAAATTGAAATTAATATCAATAGATACAATTTTCTTGTTTTTATGCTTAAACTGCTAAATCTCATCAATTTTTTTCTTGGGACATCAAAATTTAGAATGATTACAGAAAACGCTTTTCTTAAATCAATCAAACATTAAAGATTGAATTGATGTACCTCCCATGATTAATTTTCGCAAGAAATTTGCTCAAATTAACTCTTAGATTATATTATTTTAGCTGTATTTGATACTAGTTTGACTAAAGGATAATATCTGATTTATCAACAAGATCAATTTGAGAAATTGAGATTCCTAGTGAGTGTCTGGTAGAATAAGTTCCATCAAAGTTATCTCAACAAGCATCATAGTGAAATTTTTTACATATTTCACAGATCTATACATTTCCAAATCAAATCAATTAGGAATGAATTACTAGGTACATTGATTTAAAATATTTTAGGTTTCAACACAGAATAATATGGGCATTAATTTACTTTTGATCCATATGGTTTTGATGGGATCAATAAAATAAATGCTTAATATCTATGATATTTTAAATTAATGTATTTCTGTCTGGATTAAGTTATTCATAGAATTTACTGAAATTTAGAAAACAGAAAAAAACAGTGAACTGAAAACAATCAAATATATAACTATTTCTATCCAATTTTTGCTACGATTATCAAATATTTGACCAAATTAATAAAACTCTTCTAGAATCGAGCCATTATTTGGCTAAATCTATAATAGAAGGAGTAAATCAAGCAAATACCTCTAAGTTTTTCTAACGGTTTTGGCTATTTGAGTTATTTTTCATTTGAAAATATTTTAGTGTGTGGTGTTTTGTTGGAGGAAGAACGTCTCTCCTGTTTATGTGGAGTGCACGCCGCACCCGGTCCACAGGAAAAACTTGTCTAAGTTGTCTTTGTGTATTTTTTCGTACTCTCGCATCCATACTCGTAGTGCCACGCAGTGCTAACTGGCAATAATAAATTATTGAGTTTTGTGAGTGATATTTGTGATATTTGTTTCTTTATGGGAGAGAAATTGAAATTTCCAGTAGAAACGAACATTTCATCTGTTTTTTTGTAAAAAAAACTACTAATAACATAGGGTGTTACGGAGTTTTGGAATTGTGTTTTTTATTTTTATACAAGGAAATTTATATTTTTAATTTGCTTCCTGTAAACTGATTAATTTGCTTTTACACTAAAGACTTATAGCCGTATGCAACATCATCTTTTAATTTTAAAAGCACTTTTAGCCTATTCTGTCACTTTAAAAAAAAAATATTCTTAAGCAATTGACTTTCAAAGTCGCTTTTAAAGTTAAAAGAGGATGTTGCATACGGCTGGTATTATTTTCTTATTATCTATAAACTATAAGGTATAAATTGTATTCCTTTTGAGAAGGTTATTTAGGTTAAATTAGTAGGAGATAATAATAATTTAGTATTCAATATTGTAAACGAATGCAGAATAAATAATAAATAAACCGAAACCTCATTTTATTGTTACTATTTTCCCACCACCACCACTAATTAGGAAAATCAATTGGCCAGCAATCAAATATTGAATGCACATAATCAAAAGATTTGATAAGTTGCACTCAATTATTAGAAATAGAACATCAAAATATTGCAAGAAGTAATCAAATTATTTGATAAATTTTATCCTAATTATTTGTCAATTTGCTATCTTTCGTCATATCTTTTTCTAAAATCAATCATATATTTAGCAAATATTATCTACAATCAACTTGAACTGATCCAAAAATTGCTTGATACTATTCAATACTTAGCTAAATTTAAGAATATATAAATTATATTCAGGAATATCATAGGCAAATTTAATTTTATTTTTGCTAATAATAATCAAATTTTGGTTGTTATTTATTGGAACTCATTTGCTGCTACTTATCATGGTTTGATATATTTTAGCAGATTTTAGCTCAACAAGTAAATCAATCGAATCATTTATTGATATTAATCTAAATTTAGATTGACGCTATATTGATCAAAAATTTGATTGTAATACTACCCTACTGGATTAATAGTATCCAAAATTTCTTTCCGTGCTCTAGGATGGTCTACAAGAATTGCCGGTAAACAACAAGATCGCGGGGGATCTAGGCCCAGCGGAGGGAACAGTCGACAAGGCATCAATGACAGGCATACCATAAGAACTGCCAAGAAAGAACATGGAAACAAAAAGGAGGTACAATCTGGTGGACCAACAAGCTGGAAAGGCTACAGAACACAGTCCGAAAGCGTTTTAATAAAGCTGAAGAGGACAATGATTGGAATTCCTACAGGAAAGCTCAAACGAATTACAACAAAGATATCTATAGAGAAAAGAGGGACTCTTAGAGGAGATTCTGCGAAAAGTCGAATGATACGCCTGCACGCGCAAGATGCCACAAATTCCCAGCGAAAGAAAATACGAATAACTTAGTCGAACTCCTCAAGGGACAGAACCGTGGATTTACAAAAATCGCAGAAAAGAGCTTGAAACTTTTTCTGGAAGCACACTTTCCTTCGGCGAAAACAATACAGGCATCCTTGCCCAAGGCAAAGAAAACCAACCAAGACTAGGGCCTTATTTCAAAAGTGGTCCTGACGCCATCTAGAGTAGGATAGTGGTCCATAAGTCGGTTCAAGCTAATAGTCATGCTACAAATTGCCGGGATACGACGAGATCCATCCAATACTATTGCAAAAAAGGTTGGAGGTTCTTATTCCACACCTATGCAGAATTTTTAGAGGCTGCTTAGCCTGGGGGAGAATACCACAGAATGGGCAAAAGGTGAAAGTCATAATATATATTCCAAAAGTTGGTAGAATATCAGACAGATCACCAAAAACTTACCGTCCCATCTCCCTATCGACGTTCTTACTTAAAATCCTTGAAGGATTAGTAGATCGTTATGTAAGGGAAAAAGTAATCGAGAGCATACCCTTGCCTTGAGTAAATGTCAGTAGGGCATGCCAAGCAGGAAAATCGACTGATCTACCTCTAGACGACATAAACAGCTTGCTATCAAAATCCATAGAAGACAAGGAGATAGCAATGGCCACGTTTCTGGACATAGAGGGAGCATTTAAACATGCATCAAGAAAATCAATGGGAATAGCACTGGAAGGAAAGCAAGTTCCAGTAGTGCTATGCTGAGGGATGGAAGTCAGCCTTAAGTACAGTGTACAGGTACATATTCATTCACGGCGGAGCTACCATCGAAGCATCAATCAACATTGGATGCCCCCAGGGAGGGGTACGATCCCCACTAATCTGGTCCATCCTATTGGACGAACTGCTACAAACATTAAACGCGAGACGGCTTCTATTGCCTGAAATATGCGGACGACCTAACGATAAAAAAGCAAGGCAAGTTTGCATCAGGCACTGTTGCGCATAGAACCCAAAGGGGCCTGAATATTGTAACATCCTGGTGAGAAATAAAAATGTATGGCCAACCTACGAAAATCAACAACAGTGGTGACATTCACTGAAAGGAGAAACTTAATCGGGCTTAAACCAATAAAAATCAAGGTGGTGGAAATCCCCTACTCAACGGAAGCAAAATATATAGGCGTTATATTCGACCAAAAGCTACCATGGGACGCGCAAATATCCAAGACCATATAGAAGGCCACAATGGCTATGGGAAGATGCAGGAGAAGGTGCGGAAAAAATTGGGGACTGAACACAAAAATGACGCTCTGGCTTTATACAAGGGTAGTCGACCCATGATAGCCAAAAACCAAAAATCCGAAAACCAACCAAATAGAGGCAATGAGAAAATATAACGGCATGCAAAGACTGAAATGCCTGTGCGTAATCCCTACAGCAGCGATGGAAAGGTTTCTGGAGCTGCTTCTACCATGTCTTCTTACAAGGCGCGGCCGGTCGCATATAGACTGTTAAAGGGACAAGGACCAATAATTTATTTATTTATTTATTTATTTATTGGTACATCTTCACAAACACCATAAAGGTAAAACGAACAAAAAGAGAAAGAAACAATAAAGTTGAAACTTAATATAGTGTCCGCGGAAAAGTCTTGCACCATATGGGAATTTTTTTTATGCTCATCCTTACTTCAAATCGGTTTTTGGCATTAGGTTCTGCATGACTGAAAACCAAAAAAACACCTAAAATTTTTGAGTCGAGACTTGCCTCACACCTGTCAAATGCCATTTGAAAATTTCAAACAAGGAAAAGTGGCATTTTTATAAAAAATGTGAAAAAATTTTATAAGAAAATATTGTTCCAAATCATATTTAGAGTCTAATTTGATATTTTTGCTTTGAAAAAAATATATTTCAAAGCATACAATTTTTAAAATAGTCCAGAGGCGTATCAAGATTTTAATAGAAATATTTCTTTTTGATGTTTAAACTCTTAATTAGATTATTAGGATTTGAAAAACCATTAGTCAGATACAAACTAATTATTTTAGAGGAATGGTCGCGAAAGAAATCCTAAAAATATTATTTTTCCGTAGATATTCGAAAAAAAATTTTAAAAAATAAATATTTTTTTTTCAAAGCAAAAATATCAAATTAGACTCTAAATGTCATTTGGAACAATATTTTCTTATAAAACTTTTTCATATTTTTCATAAAAATGCCACTTTTCCTTGTTTGAAATTTTCAAATGGCATTTGACAGGTGTGAGGTAAGTCCCGAGTCAAAAATTTTAGGTGTTTTTTTGGTTTTCAGTCATGCAGAACCTAATGCCAAAAACCGATTTGAAGTAAGAATGAGCATAAAAAAATTTCCCATATGGTGCAGACTTTTCCGCGGGCACTGTACATAGATTTCAAAAACTAAATACAATATATAGGTTCCACACTGAAGACTACCTATTATTAAATTTTTTAATTTTCGAACAATTCTGTAGCTAGGGGCTAGCAATTACCGAGATTCACTTAATATAAAGATCGGTAATTACAGTTATCGAACACTGGATATACGTTCACAGATATGATTACCTGTGGTTAGGGCGTAATTTGTTTTGAATAAATAATAAGGCAATGGATATATTTTAATAGAACGTTGATCGCACTCTTGATTTGGTCTTCTGTGAGACATGCTCAAATCAAAGAAAACTGTGAAGGTAATTACAATATTTTCCTTAAACCAGTTTTTATATTAGTAGATACCAACTTTTAGCAGATTTCTCCAGTATGGACCAAATGCAAAGTAAACTTTGTTTGATTTTGAGAATGTGTGGATTATGAATATGTGATCCTCTAGAGGATCACATAATCATAATCCACAAAAATAATACATTGGATTCGATATAGAAAAATACTTTTTCTGTGAAAGTTGTGAGATCACTAACTGCCGGTGCTTGCCATATTTGTCTAACCTAAATATGCCCAAATATGTCCATTTTTGGTTCATCATTAAATTCAATTCAAAAGTCTTTATTTATCATTTCACAAAGTAGGTATCATTTATATCACATTAATTAAAGTCCTTTTTTCACACTCAAAAGCCAGTTATAACACTAAATACGACATGTCTAAATTGTTTTAATCACGATTTAAACAAAAATTTAACCAAAACATTATTTCAGTTCCACAAAAGTTGGCGCAAGTCCATCTCAGCAACAGAGGCAATACTCAAACTAACAGGAGTATGGCCTGACAAAAACAGCATTTCACGCTGGATAAAAATTGTAACTTTTACCCTCATAGCGGGTATATTTGACATTTCCATTATAATGGAACTGCGAAATTTACTAAAAACCCAGGATTATGAAGCGTTATCAACTCACTTGTCTACTTTTGGACTTTATATTGGATATACCGTCAAAACCATTATTTTTCAATTCAAAAAGAAGGCATTTAAAGAAATGATTGAAAGCATTGATCAACCGCTATTTGAAGACTACCAACCGGAAATGGAACCAAACAAAGATGAATGTATCCGTGTCTCTAATGGAATATCCAAGTTTTACATTTCATGCGTCGCAGCAAGTATATTTTTATACTTGAATAAACCTCTTTACACAGATCTACCCTTACCCATAAGTTTCTCGTACGAACTCAATACGGTAACATTTATTCTAGTATTGATCATGCAATGCTTTTCTTGCTACTATTTAGTAATGATCGGCATCAGTTTTGATATGATCATTGTGGGTCTGATTAACATAGCAACTGCTCAGCTGGATATTTTAGGGGAGGCTATTATGTCCTTTCAACCAAAGAATCCAAATCCACTTGAGGAAGAAGAACAGGCATTTCTAATTAAGTGTGCTAGAAAACATCAAGCTGTGATAAGGCAATAAATTTTACTATTATTTTTTGTTTGTTTAATAAAATGGTTGGTGATTTTCAGATTCGTTGGCCAAATAGAAAATGTTTTTACATTTATATTTTTGGTACAATGCTTGGCTAGTGTTACTTCGATTTGTAATGGAGCTTTTCAGTTAACTCATGCAGTAAGTATAAATTTATAAAGGCATAAGTATGAGAGGAAATGGGACAAAAGCTCCCTTTCTTAGATCGATGGTCTCTATCACACCAGATAAATGTTCAATTGATAGGTACCATTGATGGAAAAAGGGGGTTATACAGATTTCAGCCTAGTTGAAAATAGATGGAAACCCTTTTTTTAGTTTCTTCTCGGTCGCTTTAGACATTTTGTCCAATATTCTGAAACAATCTGGCTATTTTGCTAACATCGTTTGTCTTCATTCTTCTTTGTTCCTGCGTATGATTCTCCGGAATCGGTCCTGCTCTTGTTTTTTTTTGAGCCCTCTTCTTCTTTTTCTTGTTTTTTTTCTACCGTTCATCTTCGTCTTGGAAGTTTTTGTGCATGCGCTCGTGTTCTATTATTTTCCTTTCCTCGTCCGCAAGTTTCAATAAATCGCCCCCTGCATTTGATATTCCATTTCAGCGGTCTGTTGTCTCGTTTTCACTAAGACGAAGATTGCCAAAATTAATTTACCATTATATTTAAGACAATAACACAAAAAACAGGAGGCAACTAGAGAGACACATACAATACCTACTCTGTTCAACTTATTGATTTTTCACACACGGATGTTCTCTCGCTCGCATCGTCGGCTGACTCCATTTTATAGCGCGTCATCATCTCTAGAATTTTCCAGATAATCAGCTTCCGTTCGCTCCAAATTATCGGGACTATTGAGCGGTGAAATTTGATTCGCGAATTTCTAGTCAGTCATCAGGCAGTGTTGCAAGATTGTGTACACTTTGCCCAACTTGATAGATGTAAAGTAAACAAGATTTGGTACTTACCGGCTATAAGTACATACTTTGATAGGACATAAGGTACGATGGACTTTTTTTTCAAGAAAAACGTCCATTGGACGTTCCAAGCTACTTCAACTGACGTTTTTAGAATGTTCTGACGTCAATCGGCTACGTTTTTAAGACGTTTTTAAAAGGTTGTAGGATTGTATAGGTATACTATAACTAGACTCATTTTTTTTTTAGAAAGAACTACTGAGCATCCAAGCGTTATTTAATTTCGCCTTCATGTTTGATGTTCTTTTTGAAATCGGGACTATTTGTTGGTTTGCAGGCCTTCTAACTTTAAAGGTAAAATTTCCAATCATTTTCGTAAAAGTGATTATTTCTGGTTTCAGAGTGTAGAAATATCAGATGCTTGCTACAATTACAATTGGCTAAACTCTTCGACCAGAACTAAGAGAATGTTGTTAATTATTTTGTTGCGTAGCCAAAGGCCCATGTACGTTACTGCGGGGACCTTTATACGCCTATCAATGTCGTCGTTTTTGACAGTAATTATTTAACTTTTACCAAATTTGTTAACCTTAACTATCACTTTCTTATATTTTAGGTCATAAAAACGGCTTATTCGTATTTTGCTTTAATGCAAAGTTTATATGACAAGAAAAATGACGCATAAAACCATAGTCTGAAGAATAAAACCAATTGTTTTTTCAATGATAAATTCTTGAGATCTTCTAGCACCTATTTAGAAATTTAGGAGTAGATTGAACGGCTTTTCTTCTGATATTTGTTATTGAAATAAAACGGAGTAGATAACCTAAGCGTAGATGTATTTCAATGAGAAGCACTGAAGTGATGCACCAGCACTATTATAGCTGGAAGAGCACAGGTCAGCAGAGCACAAATGCAATTGAATATACTATAAATAAATGAATGAAAATAAATGACTAATTGAAAATCTAATGTTTTTTTTTTTCGCAAAAAAAACGACATGTTCTATCAGCTTCAGATAAAGTTAGCAGAACATCACTTGGAAAATGCACAAATCGTAATGATATCTACATCCAAATGTTCGTATAATTAAATGCTGATTAAATGCTAATTAAGTGCACTAATTGATATTTTTTCACTCCTTTTTTTAAAAAACTAAACGTTCTGTCAGCTTTAGGGCCGGTTCGACAATTCAAGTATCTTAATATAGGCTATACCTAGCATAAGCTCAAAAATGAACTTTTATGCTAAGTATATCTGTACCTCAGAGGTAAACTGTATTAAGTAACTTTTTTTCGAAAATGGGTTTTTAGCTGAATACTACTTCTAATAGCTTACTTGACCTCTGAAAAAAATTTCATACACCTAGCTTTTAAGACAACCAAAATATCAGATCAATAAATTATAGGGTTTCGAAGAGATACCTAATTTACTTGATTTACAATTGTTTTTTGACTCCCCTGAAAAATTATAATATTATGACTTAATACACTTTACCTCCTATACTCAGGATGTACTTGAATTAGAGTTGCCAGATTTACGACAGGGAAAAGCGTGGCAACGACGGGGGGGGACGGGGGGATTTTTTTATTACTTTAGTTCTATCCCACGCACAAGAAATTTGGTCACCTTCAGTGGGGGTAAATCTTTTGACTTTTATTTCCGTAAGCTCATGACAAGTAGAATTCTACTTTCTTGACGTCACCTGCGATTTATTTATCACGTGATTACCACGCTTTTCCACTTGCTGTCACGCCACCCCAATGCCCTGCTTTTCAAATTCAAAGGAAACTACAAGAATAGAGCTTTTCAGAAAACGCCTAATAATGGTTAAGCCCGACAACGCTGTGCCACAGGGCTCATACATTTTCTATCATAAAATGATAGTTGTATTTTTCCGTCCCATATATTAAAGTCTGTTTTTTTAATTGAAGATAAAACCCCTGCAGAACCCCATCTGGGATCACGACAAGTAGAATTCTACTTTTAAGACGTCAGGTTGCCTAGCAACCGTCATCATCGCCTGTAAAGTCTGTTTTTTTTTTAAAGATAATTCCCCAAGTCAAAAATTTAGTAACTATGTTGGCAACACAAGCCTTTTCTACATAAAAAATTTGAAAGCATTGACAATTTCACATTGTATTGCCAACATAATGTCAGTTTGACTTTCATCTTTAAAAAAAAAAAAACTTTACTGACGCGATAAATAAATTGCAGGTGTTGTCATGAAAGTAGAATTCGACTTGTCATGAGCTTACAGCTTACGGAAATAAAAGACTTACCCCCACTGAAGGTGACCAAACTTCTTGTGCGTGAGATAGAAATAATTCCCCCCCCCCCCCCCTGTCGTAGCCACGCTTTTTCCTCTCGTAAATCTGGCAACCTAATTCAAGAATTCAAGTAAAGTGCGACAAGTGAGCGAACCTTGGTAACGTATGAAGTAGCAGAGGGGAAAACGAAAACCTATACTATACGACGCGACGGGTCCCCGACGTGGTGCATTGCGAAAATTGCGTATACCCTGACGCGACGACCCGCGTATATGTATTTATATTTAATCTCTGACCAATCAGGAGGGTTATGCCCGCATTCCTTCCACACTCACTTGTCGCACTTTACATCCTGAGTATAGGCTATACTTAGCATAAAAGTTCATTTTTGAGCTTATGCTAGGTATAGCTTATATTAAGATACTTGAATTGTCGAACCGGCCCTTAGATGAAGTTAACAGAACATCACTCTTCAAAATTATAGAACTAGAGGTGGGGTGCGATTTCATGAACTGTGACTTTGTCACTTCTACTTGTCTGTCACAGTCACGGCCTGCTCCAGTCCCAGTCAAGTAGCAGTGACATTTTGTCACTGCCCGCTTCAAGCTCCGACCGATACAGCGCGGACAAAACTCGAGCAGTGATGCAAATGAAATAATATAATATTATAAATCGCATCGCGGTCACGTCAAATAGAAACTGCTACTGCAGGGAACAGGCTGGAAACTGGAACATCACTCTCGGCCGTGACTGCGGATTGCGATTATGCCATGTTGCGATGTAGCATTAACATAATATTACCAGTACGGCCGCCAACTAAGGTAAAACTGCTCCAAAAAATCACTGCTATTTGTCACAGTTACACGACTGGAGCAGTCACGTCTTGTCACAGCTCCCTTAAAATCGCAGGTTGGCCGACCTCTATATAGAACGTCATGAATTTGAACGTATTTAAATTTCAAACCAGTGAGAGCAAATTTCATTGGTTGAAAATAGTCAGAAAACTGGTTGTTGGCGATTTGCAAGTATAATACACACTACTAAGGATTGCTTATCAGCCTCGTTTTTGGCAATCGCCGCCATATTGGTGTGTCACTATTTCCGACGTCATGACTAAGTCGTTAGCTGTTTGCACTAGCGGTCGTAGTTTAGAATTTGATTTTTTTACACACAGATTTCGAAAATAAAAATGTAATCCAAAAATGAGCAAGTACCCTAGCGGATTATGATGTAAGTACGTTAATTTAATAATCCAATTAAATTGGAAATAATAATGAAACGCCTCCGGACTGCTCACTTGGAAATTAATTTTAAATTGGCCGACCAAAACCATTCTAATAATAATATAAATAAGAGGTGAATTAACTGGCCTGAAGGGTAACCCGATGACGTCATTTCTAGTTACTGCAATTCAAGGATAATACACACTCCTACGACAGGATAGCCTATCCTTATGAGGCCTATGTGGAACAAATCTGAGCCCCCCCCACCCACCACGCCAAATCACCAGTTGTGATGTAGGCAGCAAGTCGTTTCTCGCCTTGACATTTTTTTTTTTTTTTTTTTTTTTACGGATATGCGCACTCGCAAGGAAATGTCCTATCACCTACACAATTAACATTCCAAAACAACCCGCCTTTTTTAGATCTGCGGTTTGCACCTTCCTTTTTGCCTATTATGTTAGTCAAAATTAAATAATGATTTTCTTCATAAATTTGAATTCTAAACTACGACCGCTAGTGCAAACAGCAGTTGTCTTAGTTAAGATGTCGGAAATGGTGACACCAATAATCCGGCGATTACCAAAAACGAGGCCGATAAGCAATCCTAAGGCGATTTTCAGCCTGGAATGATTATTTATCGGTAAATACCGTGGTTATTCTTTTGGTTGACAACTTTGACAGCCAAGTGTGACGTCATAGACCCCCACCACTCAAGAATCATAACCCAAGGAACTGACCGCTGAAATGATTTGGTTATAGAAGTGTAGGGTTATGTTTATTATTCTTATTTGTTTTTTCGTTTCAACAATGGTTTGTTGTTAAGGTACCAAAAATGGAGCAGAATCTCTCGTTATAGTCTCGTTTATCAAACAGATTTTCTTTGGGGATGATCTAAACATGGTGAGTTGCAGTGAGTAAGTGAGTGTATACTTCTTCCATTGTGCCAGGCCACAACACAACTGCAAAATCACAAAACACCAATACCAATTCCCAAAATAATAACAATAACATCAAAAAGCTGTAACCAAAAGATTAACCCAAGTCCAAAGCTGGGTTATAGTCGGTTATAAGTGGTAAATACCAAAAGCAAATCAGCTGATATGTGACATCACAACTTCCCCTACTTTGGTTAAAACCGCGACGGCGGAAATGCGTTGGTTATAACCAAATAATAATCATTCCAGGCTGAAAATCGCCTCATGTGTGTATTATCCTTGACTGCAGTTAGCATGCAACCTAGGCGAGTTTTGGCGTTTAAGGTTACGAAAACCGTGAACCGTGATAGTTTTTTCTTTGGTTTATGAAATTGGTTTTCTATCCTAACAGCGAAATTCGCTCTTTTTTGACATTGCTTCGACAGTTTGACGTTTTATGCGTGTATCAAACGTCAAATTGTCGAAAGTCAAAAAAGAGCGAATTTCGCGGTTTTAAGTACTCATTAACCCTTTTCACGTGGCTCCGGTTTAACAAACCGCAACATACCGCTCAAATTCGAGTGGTATCGGTCACTTCACTTTGTAACCGGGTTAGAAAACGGTATGTCATACTTGACATACCGCTACTAACCGTTTTGTCACCCGGTTAGTTTAAACCGGACCACGTGAAAAGGACTATTGAACTAAACAAACAATCTGGAACGGGCGCACTGCTTTATGCTAGTGTGCCGAATTTTGATATATGCAACCCAGCAATACAGTGGGATTGTTGTCTCGCTCGCACTTATTATGATTAACGTAAAAGAAAGAAGAGCTTCTTCATCTTCCTAACCAGGTCGGGGATTCTAAATTCACGATTCGACACACGACTCGACAACGAGACGATTTTTTCCGTATCGAGTTGCGTCTCGTCGAGTTGTGTGTCGAATCGTGAATTTAGAATCCCTACCCTGGGCCGAGATTCTAAAATCACGATTCGACACACGACTCGACAACGATTCCGGCCTTGTCGTGTCGAAAGGTATAATTCCAATGAGATTTCTAACCTAGAATCGTCGGAAAAATCGTCTCGTTGTCGAATCGTATGTCGAATCGTGATTTTAGAATCCCCGACCTGAATGATCTAAACACTTCAAACAGCTGATAGGGGATTCCATTTGCTATCGAGATCGCGAAATCGAATCGCTTTCGTACTCGATACCAAATACGATATCGAGCAGGGTTGCCAGATCTATGAAATGAAAAAGCGGGACTGTTCTTATCCAGACGAAAAGCATTTTTTTCGGGTGTCACGCTCAAAAGCATAAGGGGGGGAGGGGCTGTAGTGCTCAATGTGTCCCCCCTCTATGGACCCCTTTGAGCAAAAGCGCAACAAATTTTTTTTCTATATATTGTATTTTTTTTCTATATTTTGGATTTATTTTCTATATATCGGATATTTTTCCTATATATCGAATCTTTTTTTCTATATGTTGGATTTTTTTTCTATATTTTGGATTTTTTTTCTATATGTCGGATTTTTTTTTCTATATTTCGGATTTTTTTTTCTATATATTGGATTTTTTTTCTATATTTTGGATTTATTTTCTATATATCGGATATTTTTCCTATATATCGGATCTTTTTTTCTATATGTTGGATTTTTTTTCTATATTTTGGATTTTTTTTCTATATGTCGGATTTTTTTTCTATATTTCGGATTTTTTTTTCTATATTTTGGATTTTTTTTCTATATTTTGGATTTTTTTTCTATATATCGGATATTTTTCCTATATATCGGATCTTTTTTTCTATATGTTGGATTTTTTTTTCTATATTTTGGATTTTTTTTCTATATGTCGGATTCTTTTTCTATATTTCGGATTTTTTTTTCTATATATTGGATTTTTTTTCTATAATTTGGATTTTTTTCCTATATGTCCAATTTTTTTCCTATATATCGGATCTTTTTTTCTACATATTGGATTTTTTTTCTATATTTTGGATTTTTTTTCTATATGTCGGATTTTTTTTCTATATTTCGGATTTTTTTTTTCTATATTTTGGATTTTTTTTTCTATATTTTGGATTTTTTTTCTATATATCGGATATTTTTCCTATATATCGGATCTTTTTTTCTATATGTTGGATATTTTTTCTATATTTTGGATTTTTTTTCTATATGTCGGTTTTTTTTTCTATATTTCGGATTTTTTTTTCTATATTTTGGATTTTTTTTCTATATATCGGATATTTTTCCTATATATCGGATCTTTTTTTCTATATGTTGGATATTTTTTCTATATTTTGGATTTTTTTTCTATATGTCGGATTTTTTTTCTGTATTTCGGATTTTTTTTTCTATATTTTGGATTTTTTTTCTATATTTTGGATTTTTTTTCTATATATCGGATATTTTTCCTATATATCGGATCTTTTTTTCTATATGTTGGATATTTTTTCTATATTTTGGATTTTTTTCTATATGTCGGTTTTTTTTTCTATATTTCGGATTTTTTTTTTCTATATTTTGGATTTTTTTTCTATATATCGGATATTTTTCCTATATATCGGATCTTTTTTTCTATATGTTGGATTTTTTTTCTATATGTCGGATTTTTTTTCTATATTTCGGATTTTTTTTTCTATATATTGGATTTTTTTTCTATATTTTGGATTTTTTTCCTATATATCGGATTTTTTTCCTATTTATCGGATCTTTTTTTCTATTGGACTTTTTTTCTATATTTCGGATTTTTTTTCTATATGTCGGATTTTTTTTTCTATATATCGGATTTTTTTTCTATATTTTGGACTTTTTTCCTATATATAGGATTTTTTTCCTATGTATCGGATTTTTTTTTCTATATTTCGAATTTTTTTCCGATATGTAGGAAAAAATAATAATTTAATAATAATTTCATTGACACCAGGACGCTTTCGTACTGGTCTGTATGTTCTGCTTTTATTACATTATATAGAGTAAAATTTAAATAATTTTGTGATAAACTATGTTCTTTCGTTGTGCTTCACAAAATTAAATTATAATTGGATTTGAAAGAATGTTTTTAACATGTAAAATCCTAATCATTCACTTTCGTCACTAGATATTTTATCACTAGTGACGAAAGTAAAGTTTTCGGCTAAGGTGAAATATGACGAAGTTGTTTATTTTCTAACGGTCATAGAAAAAATGATTTTTGACGAAAGTTGTCTATTAAGTGGCCAGAAAAAAAGTTTTTTGCAGATGCTCCCAAGAATCGTGAACTAACAGGATTGCTCATCCTGAGAAGGCGTACGTTCGCCGGTTCTCGAGTCCACAAGGTCTGCGAGTGACGTCACCTCGTCAGCTGCTAATATTGATGTCGTCATCCGCAGATCTCGATGAAATATTTGCGAATCAGGCTCGTTATTTGATTATTGCGTCGATTTTAAATGTAGAAATAGCTATTTATGTAACCAGTTGTAAATTGAGCGTGTTTTTGCACTAAATGTGAAGATTGGGTGGAAAAAGCGGGAAAACCGGGACAATTCACGTGAAAAGCAGGACCTGAAATTAATTTAAAAAATGCGGGACCGATTAACAAAATGCGAGACTGTCGCTCCTAAGGTGGGACGTCTGGCAACCCTGATATCGAGCAATCCGGAATTCCCATTCGAAATCGTATTCACCAACGGATAGGTCGGTATCGAAATCCGTAGCAACCGTAGCATTCAAGCGCATTTAGACAGAGAAGTGCCGCCAAACTTAAAAAAATAATAAAAATCGTCACTTGTAGCAGTTAGAAGTTGGATTGTTTTTGTTCTTTTATTAATTTTCTTGAGTTTTTTGATTTGACTTCAACGGATAGATTTGCACTATCGTATTTATTACTTTTTTTTCTCACTATTGTGGCGGCCACTAATAAGGCTAGGTAATTAGAATTTTCAGTAGGTAGGTACAGGTACCAATGAGTAGGTTAGGTAGGTACCACTTTATTTGTTTACTTTCAAATTGTTTATTGAAATTTCCTTTATGTAGGTACCTACTAATAGATTAGTGTCTTTAAAGGTCAAACAGAAAAATGCTTCCAATATTATTCACAATCGTCTACAATAGGAATTGCTCCACGAGAAAGAGACAATTGATTGCTAGAAATATTTAAGTAATTTTCTGGCTGAAGGGATGTACCATAATTCAGTCCCAAATTTTTATTAAAATCTTTGCAACGCTGAGGTTCTGTGCCACAGGATCATAGCGAGATATGGGACTTTCCCTTTCCATAGAAAAATAATTCAAGTCGTAAAGAATAGAAAAAAAAAAAAAACAACAAAACATGTGTCAATGTTGTCAATTTCATGTCGAAAGCGAGCAATCCACCAGCTTAGAGCTGGCGAGTAATCCGATATCGTTCTATTCGAAGCGACCGTTTCATTTCTCGAATGGGAATCGTAAATTTCACCGAAAGCGCCTAATCCGATATCGTATTGTCAATTGGAATCCGGGCCCACTGTTCTCACTAGCCGCCATAGTGCAGAGAGAGATGCAAATCCCACTTGTTTGTTGTCCTTCCTGGCACAAACCCTTGCATTAGAAATATTATGCAGCCACCGTTTCAGTGTGTTTGTTTAGTTCATTGTAGTCGTACGATTTTGCGGTCGTGAATAAACGGACGACTTTGATCGTACAAAATGCTGCGAACGACTGCACCTCGTCCATTAAGGGCCCCATACACTACGATGAAACACGACGGTTTTCATCGCCACGATGAAACACGTCGTTCTAAAACCGAAGTGTGTAATAGAAAAACACGACGGTTTTCTACAGGGCCCCACAGACTACGATGAAACACGACGGTTTTCATCGCCACGATGAAACACGTCGTTCCAAAACCGAAGTGTGTGGTAGAAAACCGTTCGTGTGTACGAAATGTTGAACCGTCGTGCCAAAAATCAAGCTCGGACTGAATTTTAAACCGACGATGAAACACGACGGTTTTCTACCACACACTTCGGTTTTGGAACGACGTGTTTCATTGTGGCGATGAAAACCGTCGTGTTTCATCGTAGTCTGTGGGGCCCAGTAGAAAACCGTCGTGTTTTTCTATTACACACTTCGGTTTTAGAACGACGTGTTCCATCGTGGCGATGAAAACCGTCGTGTTTCACCGTAGTGTATGGGGCCCTTTAGAAATGATTTCTGGTTGATAAATAAAATTGATAGTTCATTTCTTTATGTAGTAAGCGTATGTTCAAGTGCGGCCTTTGTGTTGGTTGTGTTTAGATAAGAGTAAATAAAATTTACTTTGACATTATCCATTTTTTGCGCACCCTCCTTCCACAATTTGCGTTGGACGTCTTTAGCATGATATCTGTTGTCTCTCATATCTATTCTCATAATACCTACTTTTCTTTCTCTCACCTCGCAAACTAGCTTCTCATCATAATTCATAATTATCCACAATATGTAAAGAAATAAAAACCTGCGAATACTGACCGAAAGTCGTTTGAAAACGTCCGACAAATCCCATTCAAATGGGACCAGTCGTTGGTCGCATGAAATCGGATCAAGTCGCACGACGGAATTCGTGTGGAGTGGATGAGCGTTCTATTCATTTTTATGTAAGGGGATTAGTCGGACGTATACGGACGACTACGCACGACCGCAGAGTCGTACGACTACGCATCCAATAGACGGCCCGCCTGAAGTTTGGCCCATGTGTGGCCGACACGCCATGTTAAATGTCATGTGGTTTGGATTGCCTTTTCAGCCGCAGACCTCCTCAACTCTTGGCGTAAAATGCATAGGCAGAGTTTAAAACAGTATAGGTCAAAAAAACGTTATAATCTTGCTAAAATCACCTTTTCTACATTTAAAATCGACGGAAAAATTCACTTCCAAGCACAGCTTGAACCGCAAGCATACCATCGAGGCCTGCGGATGACGTCACCACTGTAAGCTGCTGATAGTGGTGACGTCACTCGCAGGCCCTGCCGACTCGAGAATTGGCGAACCTACGCCTTATGAGGATGAGCAATAGAGCAATCCTGTTAATTTACGTTTCTTGGTTTTTAATTCTTGTGGTAAAATTCGAAATGTATGCAAATTGTGAAAGTCTATCTCTGACATTTTTGGGATAACATCTTCTGAACCGAATACAGTTGTGGCCTCACATGGGAATAATGAGATTCCAATTTTGCAATTCCTATAATCAAATAAATTTTGTAGATCGTCAAGTTCCAAGAAATGATGAATTTATTTTGAAGATTAAAACAATATAATATATTTCAAACAAGAATTTCTTGTTTCTTGTTCTGTGTTGTGATGTTTTGGTTACGACATACGAAAAGCGTTTTGGCGTCTGGTTACTAACTGGTTAAATATCGCTGACCATATCCTAACCACTTCGTTACCGCGTTATAACCACTTTTTGTAACCGGTTAACGCCAAAACTCGCCATGATTATGATTGGTAAAGCTTTTGAACTCCACCCATGTCCCATAACCTCAAATCGGTTTGATGTTTTGTTGATGTCAAAAAGCTGAAAAGTCAAAACTAGTAAAAAAAACACAGCCCCCTTGGCCCTGGACTTGTATTTTGTATTGTGTACTGTGCATTTATTTTGTATTTGTATTGAGTTTTATCATGTATAGTTGACGGCGGTGTATTTTTTCTACGTTTGTACTTCAAGACAATACAGAAATAAGAGAAATCATTTCATTTTACCCAAGAATAGAAGATAAGAAGCTTTCACATGAACACCACAATCCATCAGCAGAGGAAAAAGAAAAAACATGAATTTGTCAGGCATTGTTTTTGATATAATGAAACCTCCCAACATCTAAAATCAGCAAACACTCTTTCAGGAAGTGTTTATGAAAACAGTAATGCAGGCTAAAAGGCGTTATCTGTTGGTATTTGTCGTAGCTTTTCTTACAATTTGGTATTTTGGAGGCTATCACCTTCGGCATAAACGTAAGATACCATTCGATAATGAGCTGCTAATAACCTATGTCAATTTAAACAACATAGAGACAGGCTACACACCACCTCGTGAAAGACGTATAACTCAAAATGATGCAAAAGTCTTGTGTCGCATGGAAACTTGTTTTGATTTCAGCAAGTGTGAAAAAGACTTTAAGGTTTATGTGTACCAACAAGAAGAAACCATCAACCCCAGTCCGTCCTATTTGAAGCTCCTAAATGTTTTATTAGAATCACACTATTATACTTCTGATCCAAAAGAAGCATGCCTATTTGTACTCAGTATAGACACGCTAGATAGGGATAGACTGAGTAATGACTATGTTAGAAATATGCAAAGTAAAATTCAAAGGCTTCCTTATTGGAATGATGGCCTAAATCATATTATTTTTAACTTATATTCTGGTACATGGCCAAATTATACAGAAAATAATTTAGATTTTAATTATGGAAAAGCTATATTAGCTAAAGCAAGTATGTCTGAAGATCATGTCAGGCCAGGATTTGATATCAGCATTCCACTTTTCCACAAAATTCATCCAGAGAAAGGTAGGTTGGCAAAAATTTAATTAGGTAAATTACTTCCTACTGATCAAATCTCTGCTCTTTTTTAATGTGGTATTTTCCACACAATTGTTATCAACCAAATATGTAAATACATGTCCATAAAGGTTTCCCTGATGAGAATGGTATTACATTTTCCAACTTGCCTACATCTGGAATTAAAAACAGACTTTGGTTTGTGAAAAATATTTGTGCAGTTTCAATTTTTATTGCTTTTGGCTTTTTGAGTGTCTAATTTAATAACAGCTGTTGATATTTTAATATATTAATAAATAGAGACATTTTAATTTTATATAAATCAATACCTATGAATACCTTATTTCTAATCGTCATGCAGTTTCCAAAAAATGTCTTAAAATGTAACTGCCCATTTCTGGGATTGTCAATACCTACCTCTACGAGGCAGGTTAGTCAATTTATGAAAAAAATCCAATTGTCATTTTGTTTGGTTTTTATTCATGAAATATGCCTGTTTTTACTAGCAAATTCAATTTTTTGATGAAAACATAAATCTCAGCATGAATGCATATAATGCCTGCCATTATATGACTGGAGGGATTTTTTCTGACAATATGCATGAATGCTATTGTTAAAAAAATGGTTAAGAACTGAAATTTTAAAATATTTTCAAATACTGATATGAGTCAAGAATATTCGCGAACATTGGGGAATTTCCGAGAATACTCGCCGATAAAAAATGGAAATGTTCTCCAGATTGCGAATATTCCCAGAAACTTTCAAGAGAACTTTCAATTGGAAATTCTTAAGAATATTTCCGAGAAATTACAACAATATTTCCAAAAACGTTCCAGGAGAATTTTACATAAATGCGAAATTATTGAAAATACAATGTCGCGGTTACGTCATTTCAATTTATGTGGATGATGTAGCCCTGGCCTCGCACGGCCATAAAAGTATTTTTACTAGTTTTATTTTTAGCTGATATGTAAGTGTTTTTCTCTGGGTTTTTATTGGTTTATAGTCTATAGTCAGTGCACTACAATAATAAATAAAGCTTACTACTGATTTGTTTGGTTTATAGCCGTTTCCACCAACTATTTTAGGGGAGCCTTAACGATAAGTATTCCTTAAAATGACAATTTTTCATGGAGAAATGTCAGTTTAAGGAATACTTATCGTTAAGGCTCCCCTAAAATGGTTGGTGGAAACGGCCATTAGGTATCTATAAAAATTTTAAAAAAACTTTTTTTCTATAAATCTCGTAAGCCTCCAATATTCCCGGTTTCCGAGAATGTTCGCGGGTTTTGAATATTTTGGGAATTTTACATCACTATTTCCAAAGGATATTGTTCCTGCACGTTTTATATTTTAATAGAGAATAACTCGGGAATAAGTATCCGAAATGCATAAAGGCAGAGCTGATCATTATTATCTAAAACATACTACAGCAATTTTTCAGTGTATTTGGCATATTTCAGACATTCTCTATTAGGGTTGTGCCGTTTGAAATTTTCAAATGAAATTTCCATGTTTGAAATATTCAAATGTGAAATTTTCAATATTCGAAAAAAGTGAAATTTCACAGAAATTACAGGTAAAATTTTCAATTTGAAATTTCCCAAACTTTGTAGAAAATTTCATATGTTTCACTGGAAATTTCATAAATTTCATCGAAATTTCCAAAAAGTGTACATGGTTTGCCGGGAAATACAAGGAGTTATTGGCAATGATGGCAACGCCGTAACTCGCAACGCTGTTCACTGGTTGTATTGGTGGTTGTCTTGCTTTGGATTGTTGGAATCTTAATTCTTAGCTTAGGTTAGAATTCATTGGCCACGATTCGATTTCACACGACACGACACGAGAAAACAAGTTTCCGAGGCAGGTGAATTTCATGTTGGAAGCCTGAACTTATGATAAATACAGTTAAACCAAAAAACAATATTTGGAGCTACTTCACTCGACTGACTACGAAATAAATAACAGAAAGGTAGAATGTGTTTTTTCTACGAGCCTGCGGGAAATGACTCTTTCCGCACTATTTGCTGTTCGGGCAGACTTTCTTCCCGCACTGGTGCGGCAGTAGCAAATAATCCCTTTATCGTCGAATTGTTTGTATTGTTGATACGCCTATTTTTTTTTTACCTTTACCTTTTTTTATAAATACTGTTCAATACATTCATAAATTTACCTTCTGCGCAGTCGCATTTCATGTAAATTACATTTTTCGTAACATCACCGTTAGTACGATTGTAGAAAAAAATATATTTCCTAAAGCTTGTGGGAAGAAACTGTCTCCTCCCGCACTTGTTAGGAAATAGCTATTTACCTAACAAGTGCAGGAAATGAATTTTTTCGCACGAGTCTGCCGTTCACCGAACGACGCGTAGCGAAGTTCGGTGAAGCAGCAGAGCCCGGAAAAAACATTTTCCGCAAGTGTTAGGTACAATAGTTTTTCTACAGACGTGCGGAAATATGTATACCTACATAATTTATAGTGATTTGTTAATTTTTTTTTTTGACAGCCTTGCGGAAAAAACTTTCCCCAGCAATATTCGTGCGGAAAAACTTTTTCGCACAATAATTGAATTTTGTTGAAAATTTCATCAAATTTCATGAAGTTTCACTGAAAATTTCATAGGGAATCATTTGATTTTGAAAATTTCATGATATTTTGGAAATTTTCAGAAAAATTCAAAAATTTTGAAAATTTCACGGAAATTTCAAAAATTTCAATATTTCCATGAAAATTTCAGAGTGAAATTTCCAGATGAAGTGAAAAGTGAAATTTACTGAACCTCTATAAAAAAAACACATTTTTAACAATATTTTAGCATTTGTTCCTAACATTGTCGAATGTATTTTTTAAAAAAGACTCCCCTCATTTTGAAAAATGTTCAAGTAATTCTTGATGCGCATTGGTTCTTCTCACAAATCAAATTTTTAAGTTGAGACAAAACAACAAAATATTTATAATTAAATATATTTTTATTTCGTTAGTTGAATACTAGAGTTGGGAAAGCTGGGAAAAAACTTTGAAAAATAGGTTTTTGTTATATCAGAAACTCTCACAGAAACTAATTTAAAAAAATATATTATCTACACATGATTACATAATATTATCTAATTATCAGTCTACAAAGTTCTACGTCTTCCGATTTCCATTTTCCAACCATCTCTGTCAATCCAGGCATCCTCATCCAAAGCCTCTGTCTCTCATTTCGTCCTAGTTCCTTATCCTCTCCATTTTTGACATGCCTGCCGCTCTCCTCGAAAAGTTCATCTCAGTTGTTTCCAACATTTTTGTGGTTCAGTACCAAGGGGTTTTTCACCTAACAACATTTGTACACCGATTAACGGTACTAACTGAGATATTTCCATGTATTAACAGATATTTCTATGTACCTAATAACAAGTTATTGCCAACTATTTCCATGTATTAACAAAATATTTCCACATATTGCCAGGTATTTTCCTAGTATTATCACATATTACCAGGTATTGCCATGCTATTGACAGACTAAAATCAAATATTTGTCTTGCCAGAATTCTAGGTATTGACATATCCATAGGTATTTACATGTTATTAATGGGTATCAACCAATGACATTGACATATATTACCTACATAATTAACAAGTAGGTATTGCATAGTATTGACACTATTGACATGGTATACCTGGTATTGACATATATTAACCAGTGATTTGTACACCGATTAACAAGGTGAAAAACCCCTTGTTCGGCACTTTAGTGGACAGACCTTAAAATTATAATATGTGCCTTTGCTTTTTACGATGGTGTTGCTATGTGTGCAATTTTATTTGTTTTGTTGATAATCTGTTCTTATTCGGATATTAAATTGCTTTGTCTAGGATTCCCACAAGCAAGATTTTCATTCCCAAATAGTTGTATCTAGTTTTTAATTTCTTGCCTGTTATTCAATTTCAGGTTTCGTTTTTCTCCTCCGATATGGTCATATATTTTGTCAGCTTTAGTTCCAACCCCCATTTTTCATATTCCCTTATGAATTTACGTTCCATTCTTAGGATAGGTATGAATACAATCTACAATGATTACATACCTATTTCATTAAAGAAAGCAAGGCCATCATTCGGACCTGGAAACTTCGTACTTTTTATCAGAAGTAGGTAGGTACCTATGTAATAATAAAGTAACCCATAGAAAAATCTTTCTATAAACTGCTTAATAGTAACCAAAACATTTTTTTTAAAGATATTTATTTAAAGATAAAATGAATTACAAACACCCTGCCAGGTAATAACATGTAAGTAACATAAAGTAGTACACCTAAAAACTCAAAAACTTACATAAAATAGACACAAAACAAAACCAAAATGGACGGCTAGGATCACAAGATTTACAATCACACAATGTTCAATGTAATACTGATGCCCCAAATTCTTTTATACCTATACTAAATATATCTATTTGGTTTTCAGCCATCACATTGTTGCATTCCAAGTTGCATTCTTCCATCATCTTTTTACGAGTCTTTTTAAAAGGGGATATGACACTCTGCCCTGCACAAAATACATCTAGATAACTATATCAGTCTTAAGTTAATTTTAGGTACCCCAAAATGCATATAATTAATACGTTGACCCTTTCTATATTGCAGCACTGCGTGCTTCCTCGTTTGCTGGACTAATCTAATATTACAAATCACAAAAAGCGTTCGGTTCCAAATTGATGCTGTTTTCAACCTGTCTTCTGTGTTGTTCATACTCATATCTTGATTGAGCTCTCACTATTTTGCTAATATTTCGTAGATCTTGCATGTAACCCGATCCACGCAGCACTGACTTATGAAGTCGTTGTTTTGCCTGTATTTCATGTACCAGATCAGTGGAGATCCAATGAGCAAATTTATTGTTTGATTTTTGTTTTGATTTGATTGATTGTGTACAATGATTTGTTCTTTTTTATATTTTTATCCTGGTTTTGGTGTGTGGCTTCCACTTTTGAGTGATTCTGATGGGGAAAATTATTGCACTGTCTGCGTTCATATGACAGAGCATCTGCTTATGGGAACCTATTTTAGATACAGGGTGTCCCAAAAAGATACCGACAAACTTTAAGGGGTAGTAGGGGACATCAAATCAAGCATTTTTGTTTATATAAACATATGTCCGCAAATGAGCCATTTGGGCTGTAGAGCAAAAAAGCTGTTTGGTATCTAGTTTTATTCTTCGCAATAATTAAATCACTGTTTACTTATTAATTTTGCTTTAATAGCAAATAAATTATGGTTTACAATAATTGTTCAACTCGCGAACTCTTTGGAATATTCCGGGAATAGCTTCTACATGGGTACAACTCGCCAGTATCCTTGCTATCAGATCTTCCTCATTACGAACAGGTGTTTCGTAGACTAAACTTTTCAGTCAATGACCCGACGGTGTAATCTTTGCATTGGAGTAAATGGTCAACATTTTGAACAATTATTGTAAACCATAATTTATTTGATAATAAGGCAAAATTAATAAGTAAACAGTGATTTAATTATTGCGAAGAATAAAAGTATCAAATAGTTTTTTTGCTCTACAGCCCAAATGGCTCATTTGCGGACATATGTTCATATAAACAAAAATGCTTGTTTTGATGTCCCCTACTACCCCTTAAAGTTTGTCAGTATCTTTTTGGAACACCCTGTATAAATTGAAATCCAAAAGTTTGGTTCTATATTGTCTGGTTATGAGTGCTGTCCTCTGTCCTTAACGAAAACGTTATTCTATGTTGACAAAAAACAAGACATGTAAAAGCAAATATTTGATATTTAATACACTTTGCAACTTCAAAAAAAATAAATAAAAAGGTTTTGGTTAGTGATGTGAGTAGCGAATATTTCAACTAGAACATTCCCGTAAATTACGGAAATTTCGGAAATATTCGGATTTGTTTTGGGAACATTCGGAACTTCACGAAAATTCGGTTGAAATATTGCGCGAATTTGCGGATTTTAAATTTCCCGCCAACATTTCGTGTCGCCTCGCGTCACCACAGCGGCACAGGATCACTTAACAGCGGCACAGGATCACTTAACAGCGGCGCGTTGGCGTCAAACTAACCTCTAAGGGCCGGTTTCTCAATAGCGAGTCACCTCCGGGTTAGTTTTAACTCCAGGTTAAACTTGTCCAGTTGCAATGTTTACCCTGGAGTTATGCTTAACCCGAGGGTGACTTGCTATTGAGAAACCGGCCCTAACCTCGATATCAACAGCGTATGGGAGTGTTTAGTTTTGAAGGAACGAGCTATGGCAGTTTTATCATGGTTTCTTTGCGGGGAAACACCGGCGCAGTGTTTGATTTTTTATTTTTCTATTTTTATTACCGAATATGGGGACACAAGTGTGGAGTCAGGATCACTTCAAATGTTTAAAAAAAAGAGAAAAAGATATGTACCAGTGTACGAAATGCTACATGTTTAGTTGATAAAACCATTTTTCTTTTCTTAACGCATTTCAAATTCATTTTTTAACAGAATATATCTCCTTATATAAACTTGACTTTATTTTAAAACAGTTCCTTAAGTACACTTACAGTGAAGAAAATTGAATGTTTCCTTAAATTTCAATAAATTTCACTAAAATACGAATATTTCGGAAATATTCGGAAGAAAAAATAAATTTCGGAAATATTACTTCACTAGTTTTGGTAACTTAAAACATTAAATGCTATTTTTGCAGGTGGAGAGCCAGGATCAAATTCCGCAAATAACTATCCATTAGAAAAGACCTATTTACTCGCTTTTAAGGGTAAACGATATGTACATGGTATAGGTTCTGATACTAGAAACTCATTGTATCATTTACATAATCGAAAGGATATGATTATGGTAACCACATGTAAGCATGGTAAAAGTTGGAAAGATATGAAAGATGAAAGGTGTGATGAAGATAATCGGGAATATGATAGGTAAGCATTCAATTGGACTATAAACTGATCTGTTTTGAAAGTCCTTCTACATTGCATATTTTGAAATTTGACAGATACCAAACAAAACGAATAAAACTTAAGGGCGTCCGAGAATGACTCAAAAATATGGTCGGCAGTCAATCTGTTAATTGTATTTAAATTATTCTTGAATAAACTAAACAGCCACCTCATGGTTTTGGATTATCTACAAAAAAAAAACAAAAAAGGAAATGAAAAAACTGTTTCTAAATTAAAATGCATGATACAGATGATGTTTCTGTTCACTGTCTTGTATGAAGTATGCATTATCTCCCAAAAATGGAGGGAGGAAGGGGGTTGGAAAGGAATACTGTGAACGAATAAGTAACGTGAAATATTTTATTTCATACTGTTTTATTGAAAATTACGTTTTGGAATAAAATGTATTTTTAACCCGATTTTCAATTTGCATCATACACTTGTTAAGTGCCAAATACTATAAAAGTTAATTTTTTGGACTAAAACTAAGTAGTGAGTATTTAAAGGTGTGTGTTGGAATACAGTATGAGATAAAAGCCTTTTATCCATAAAACAATTATTGATTCCCTATTATGATATCTTTTAAAGTCATTACGCCACATAAATATACTGTTTTTATATTTCCTATGAATGTACACAATTTACTTTTGTTAAATTTTAACTTGATGAAGGTACCTCACATTACAACTTTTTTCATTGTTTGCAGATACGACTATGAAACATTGTTACAAAACGCCACATTTTGCCTAGTTCCTCGCGGTAGGAGATTAGGTTCATTTAGATTTTTAGAAGCTTTGCAAGCTGGTTGCATTCCCGTATTACTATCCAATAGTTGGGCTTTACCATTTTCTGATGTAATTGATTGGAATAAGGCTATTATTTGGGCCGATGAACGTTTACTATTGCAGGTAAGTTATCTGCATCTGCCAAATGTTGACTGTGTAGTTATTAAGGTTTGTTTATCAATATGTAGGTGCCTCATATCATTCGTTCAATACCACCAAGTAAAATTTTGCAACTCCGCCAACAAACTCAAGTATTGTGGGATAGGTATTTTTCTTCAATAGAGAAGATAGTATACACGACTTTAGAAACTGTAAGAGACAAATTACCAAAGAAACAAAAACGTGATGGTACTATTTGGAATTCCTTTCCTGGAGCCTTAGTTACTTTACCAACTTTTTCTGATTCTCTGCAGGATTTTCCTTTCGCAGTTGAATCAAGCAAAAATAAGTTCACTGCTGTTATCTACTGCCAGTTAGGTAAGAACATTATTCAACAATATGTTTTTTTAACATTACTAGGAAACATTTATAGGTGTATCGTTATCACAACCTTCCACAACATATAGGTTAGCCAACTACTTATCCAAGAGTAAATATTTAGCAAAAATTCTTATAGTATGGTCAAACGATAAACGACCACCAAATAGAAGTCGTTGGCCAACTTTACCAATACATATTCCTCTACATATCATTGAAACCGGAAATGGATTGGAAGGGAAATCAAGTATTTCCCAACGGTTTTATCCTCATAGTGAAATTAAAACTGATACTGTTCTTTCGCTTGATGAAGACACAATACTCACCACCGAAGAAATCGATTTTGCTTTTGCTGTATGGAAGCAATTCCCAGATAGAATCGTTGGTTATCCTGGAAGATCTCATTATTGGGATGACTCAAAATCGACTTGGGGATATACTTCTAAATGGACAAACGATTATTCGATTGTTTTAACTGGGGCAGCTTTTTATCATCGATATTATAATTATTTATATACAGAATGGTTGAGTCCGCTTCTGCATAAAACTGTGGAACAAAGTCAAAACTGTGAGGATATTCTAATGAATTTTTTGGTGAGCCACGTAACACGTAGACCACCTATCAAAGTGACTCAAAGAAAACAATACAAAGAGCAGCCTAGTGCTGGTAGTTGGTCCCCGTGGAATGATCCAGACCATTTTATCCAAAGACAAAGTTGTTTAAATACATTCGCAGCCGTATTTGGGTATATGCCATTGCTAAGGTCTAATTTGAGACTCGATCCTGTACTTTTCAAAGACTCTGTATCAACTAAACGGAAAAAGTATAGGAGAATCGAACTGGTAGGTAATTAGATGTTTGAAATAACCTAAAAAATTACGTTTTTCGAACTGTATTTGTTATCTAATAAGAACAGCTTTAGGTTTAATTTTGTAGTGACTGTTGCAACGTTCCTTTTTTTTTAAATAGTATGTTTTTAAATTTCTAATGAAATACACGATCTCGCTCTTTTGAGGTAGAATATGAAATATGATGTAACCTTGCAAAATAAATTATTCATATGCCTATGCTTAGTGAATAAGAAATATCATAATAAAACTTAGATCATATCAATATAAGAAGCAATAATATACAATATTAGTGTTTACCAGTCGGGTCGATTTTGTGAGGTTATCATCTCAGTCATCACTTTAGGCGATTTCGGCAAGCTTTGGTTGGTATACCATTTGGTTAACCAATTGGTACCTGCAACGTCATAGAAATGATGTAAAACACCATTTTGTTCCGAGTTCGTTTGGTAGGTCTAGAGCAATGAATCTAGAGAGAGGAAGAGACGAGCCTTAACCTAACTTTTTGTTGTTCTCCTGGTTTGGGGATTTGGGAGTGATTAGGTACTGACTGCATTGACTAAAATTTATAATCACTAATCAGCACTGTCTAGAGACAGTACCTTTGAGTAACCTATTGGCTAACTCAGCGTTTTCTGATCGTCGAAACATTATTTGGCAGTCAGAACATACGAGAAAACAGGAAGATGAAGGCAAAAAAACAAACATATTTATTAAAAATTTCAAATTATTCTAATTCTAATGAACTTCCATTTATTTACATTTCCCAGAGCAGGACAAAACGAAAATAGACGTAGATAGCACTATACCAAAGAGAAGAACCGTGCTGCTAACCACGGTATCCTATTTGACAGACCAAAAAGGATACCAAAGTCACAGTGACGACATCATTTTCGTATCCGAAATTGGTTGGTATGCATTTGACAGACCAAACAGGGTACCAAACCATGTACCAAAGTTTGTCGAAATCGCCTTTTGTTTCAGCTTTATTTTATAGATATTCCTTTATTTTTATTCTAGTCTTTTATTTAAAAAAAATGATCTGAATGTGAAAATTCCATCTTAAAAAACGTATAAAAAAAAAGCAATAGTAGTCAAATTGTCAAAATAAAACTAAGCCAAAACTTTGAAACAATCGAGGGATCTTATTATGGGCGGTTACACACGGACGTGGATGTCTTAATACATATACGTGCATACATCAACGTGCAACCAAGAACGTGTATGGCGCTTTTGTACAGACGCTCGCACAAAACTGCAGTCTTGCTATTCTTGCTACAGTATTCCGAGTGTGCATACAAAATTGCACATTCAAAAACGCGACGATATTTTGCATACTCATTGATGTTTTTGTTTGCACGTTCATGTATGTGCGTACATGTTTTCAGACATCCACGTCCATGTGTAACCACCTTATGATGTTAAAAAAATCTTAAAATAAAAGTTTTATATAGAATGAAACGGGATAAGATCATGAGAAGCTTTTTATCTAAATATATGCATTTCATATAATTTAGGTAGAAAGAGTCACGGATCAAAGGCCCTATAGTTGAAACCTATAATACCTACAGTGTGGTGGTTTCAGACTGATACTGACACAGCGGCCAGGTTTGCAGATATTTTGTGCAAGACTGCTTCTAAATTGGCGTTCAATTGTCGATTATATCTACTTTGTAAGAGTTGAACAATTCAACCTTGGGTATTGGTGTCAGTGCTAGCCCATTCTTCTTGGTGTTGTGCCTTGGAGTCAGCTCCGATAATAAAATACCTGTCTCTGTTGGTACGCCATTGTATGAAACGTTTAGATCCACTGGAAAGTAAGCTGAGGCGATGATGAGGTGCCTTAAACCAATGTCCAGTAGCACTTCCACTAGCGCAGTTGCAAGATCTTGAGAATTTCAGTTAAGAGTCGAGAAGCAGTTCTGCTCGTGGTGTTTTGTAAGGTAAATTAACTTACATGATTCAATGTTGAGGCTCATGATGAATCTCCAATATTAAGTCCCTGCTCAAATATCCTTCTTCTGAGGTGAAGGTTTATTCAGAATGATGCGCTTAATGATGTTGAGGTAGATGGTTTTCGGCTGTGTATTATCGATTTATGTGCTCCTCAAGTTTTCAAAGGATTATACCTTTGGTCCCCTTTGAACGTTAGGTTGGGTATGGATTTGGTTCTGAAATCGTTGTGTTCTGTACATCTTCAGACCCTGGACGTACCAGGTGGCTACTTTTATTGTTTGGGACTTTTCTGTGATCCGCTACTTATGGGCTACACGGTTGTGTGCACATCTTCAAGCTGATCACATGACTCCCTTTTTCATTTTCTCTGCAGACGTACTTTCTACAGAGATGGTGTGGGTAACTAGATGTCCATCAACGCTACGCTTGACGACTCTCCGGCTTGTGTCGTTAAGGCCTTCATTTTGACCTTCAATTTGACGGATTTTGTCAGTTGAGTAATCCTGACTCCCTGGGAAATCGCGCGACCATGACGTCTGAACAAGGAATATCAGATTCGTCTGCCATCTTTAGCGACTTCTCAGGGTTTGAGTTGGCTGATTATTAAGCCATTGCTTGGATGCTAATTTTTGAAGTGTACAGCTAGCCAGTAACTGGAGAATACAAATACCTTCAGGAGCTCTGGTCTCATCTGAACCATGCATATAACATATTCTTTACAAGTTAGGACAGTTTTAATACAGTGGCTGTCCTACCCTGATTTCTACAATTATATGGCGTTTGACAATGCAGGCATCCTTGCTAAATTAAAGATTTGTTCTAAGCCGGGTCTGTCATGGACAGACACTGTAGAATTCTGAGTAGTTTTGGTCGATGAAACGTCATCCACAATTTTGTCTATTACAGCCTCATTTGACGCTTTAATTTGCGCCACTGAAAGGAGAATTTTGGGAAAGTTTTTTTCAGCTTCCGCTTGAAGCAGGGCTCTGTTGCCCATTTCCTTTTGCTTAGCCTTTTTTGTCAATTGGCTTGCAGGTGTTCTCTCTTCTAAGTGGACCCGTTTCTGTCGTTTTGCAGAAGATTTCACCTTTTTTTGTTCTGCTCTCGAGCATTGGCTCGGGCTTCATCGGCATTGAGCCCTTTGCTGATAGGTACTTCATCTTGAGGCGCAGTTCAGCCTGAACTTTTTGCTCTTTAGTTGTAATGCATTCGGATCTTTGCCGATCTCGTTATTGGTGGATTGTAAGAGGACGGATTCCTCATCCGCTGTGTTTTTGGGAGTCACCTTCGCGAACCCTTTGGTTCTACGTGGGCCATAAAAAGTCCTACGAGTAGCAAGGGAAATGTGGTACCTGCAGGGCAGTGCCCTCTATGTCCTTTGGAAGTTATGAGGAACTAAGGCTCACCCCATTCTGCCGTACTAAACGCAGAAGCGGTAACTGCATATTAAGGGGAAATTGATATTTCCCCATCATGTGAAACTAGCGGTATTCTGCCAGTCTATTAAAAATATGAATTTATTTTCAGCGGTATCTACAAATCTGAGCTATACCTATTGAAATTAATATAAAACTACTAATATCTAGGGATAGCCATTATGTTCGTTACCGTTTCTGCGCTTAGTACGGCATCATTGTAGCTATTAAGCTTCCGCGAATCACCCAACCCTGCCATCAGTTCCAGGACACGAATTATACCCGGCAGATGGGGTGTCATCTGCCCCCTTTCCTCGCTAGTGCGAAGCTGCCATTGAGTGCTACGATATTTCTCCAGGTGTGCTATATATTTTCTGTAAATTTGACCTGAAAGTGTTACCGGGAAAAATTTCGTATTTTTTTTCTGTTTTTCCAACATTTATTTATTGAGAAAAAATGAGGACCCCCCCCCCCCTTTTTCGAAGAGGTGGCTTTGCTTAGCGCAACTTTAGATTGTAACTCTCCTCAGTCATTCCATCAAAGATTTTTTGTTAAGTTTTCTTGCCATCTGATTGCACATGCCATCTGATTGCACATTTGTTTTTATTTTTGCATTTTTATATGAGCGGTTTAGAGATAAAATTTCTGCAAACATATGAGTTTATTTTAAGATGAAATCAAATTTGACTGAACTACAATAATTAGAAACATATGTATGCAAGAAAACCTAAAGTTATGTTTCTAAATAATGGATTAGGGTGAATGTAAGTATTTTATTTATATTTTTGATGACTAAAAAAACACATAATAATTACCAACAAGATTATTACCCAACAATGAATTGAGAAACCAGGCAATGAACACGAAGTTCATCATCTGAGAAAAATCTTGCCCTTTTACCCCTTGCCCCTCATACCTGATCCTTAAATTTTGATCGTTTTAAGGACTAGGGAGTATATTTACTATTCACTGATGGAGTATGATCATTCTTGAACACATTTTTGCTGATGTGACATACAGGATTTTTTAATTGTTCCTATTTCACCTGGGGGCTTTATTACAAGTGTTAAAGATTTTTTATTACGGTTTTATGCCAAGGTTGTTAACAAAAAGTTAGCCATAAAGATACTAGGGTTTCTTCTGGAAGTTATGTGATTCAAGGAATGTATATGTGATAGCTCATTGTCTAAATTTTACATTCAGTAAGGTGGCGTGGGTGACCTGAGAGCCCAATTTTTGGAAATCGACAATATAATATGTATTTATTATCATTTTCGGATATTTTGTTATGATCTTATGTGAAAACTTAGCATACAACTCATAAGGAATAAATCAGTTCTATCCGTAAATTAAAAATTATTTTAAATAAATAAATGAACTTTCTTTATACTGCACACAAAAGCATTAAGTCATGCACACTAACGAAACATTTACTCTTTTTGGTTAGTCGAGAATTGCTATCCCAAAACTCTGTATCTTAAAACTTCCTGCTAAAAATAGCATTGAACCTAGAGCCGTGTTTTCCCTAAAAAAAAATTGGAAACATCTTTTTCTAAAATGAAATTGTTGAAATAGAAAAAAATATTTTGTAATATCAAAAACTCTTAAAATTATCAAATACAATAGAAACTAGACGGCCGCTAGCTTCTCTGGAGCCAAATTATATTTCGTTCCCTTGATTTCGTGTTCGTCGAGAAGTTATTAAACTTTTCACCTGCTGCATGTGAGCAGTCGCGTCCATCATTAAGCAGGCGAGGAAACTATCGCTGGAGTAGGTTCTTTGTTTTAACTTCAACGGCTATCCGTGTCGGGACTACTTGCAAATATTACTGTTGTCGATTGAAAATAAACTTCTCCAAAGAGTCCAAAGCATGTCGGATCATCCACGATTTTATTTGATTTGATACATCTTTAGTTTTACTTGGTACAATTAAAATAACCACAGTTTCAGCTTTAGCTAGTGGTTGGAAAAC